ATTTCTTGACCGTGCTCTCAAGTTTAGCGACTTGCTCTTTTAAAGCTTTGCAAGACCCACATTCACTTGATGAGCTTTCTGGTTTGTCAGCGCTTCTTTTTCCAAAAAATTTGTTTTCTTGTTTAAGTGTTTCATTTTCTTTTTCCAATTTTTCAAAATCGTTTTCAAGTAAAGAAAGTCGTTTCTTCAAAGATTTATTCGTTTTAGAAGCGCTAACAAATTCCTCATAGAGTTCATGAAGTGCTTCTTGCATTTCTTCAAAAGTATAAGAGTCGGAAGAAATGTTACATACCTCTTGGACGTCGTCGCTTTGATCTTCGTGTGCCATGAGGCAGAGATTTGCAGCTTCGTCCTCCTCTTGGTCGGTTGATTTGTCGCCGGAATCGCCACCCCAAGAGATGTAGGCCCTTTGCTTCTTGAAGCCAGGCTTGTCCTTGCCGTGTTTGGCCTTTGGACACCTTGGCTTGATGTGGCCAATCTCGCCACAGCCGTAGCACTTGGGAGGACCATCGTGCTTCCTTCCCTTTCGCTCAAATTCTTTCTTCATGAACTTGTGGAACTTTTTCATGACGAGCCCGAATTCATTGTCGTCATCGCTTGAAGCCTCTTCCACCGGTTCCTTGGTGGCTTTGAGAGTTATCCCCTTTTTCTTTTGTTCATCCAAAGACGGGGTTAGAATAGTAGATTCATAGGTTTTAAGATTACCTCTTAGCCCGTCGATGGTGACGTTGGAGACTCCGATGGATTCGTAGATTGCATCGGCTTTTGACCTCCATTCGGGTGTGAGACTCCGCAGGATTTTCCTCACAAGATCCTTGTTGGTGTAGGACTTTTTGAGGGCATGAAGATCGTTGATGATCTTTGAGAACCGGTCGAACATATCATCAATTTTCTCACCTTCTTTCATCCGGAACATTTCGTACTCTTGGGTGAGAAAGTCGATCTTGGCTTCGCGAACTTGATCGGTACCTTCATACGTTACTTCAAGCTTGTCCCACATCTCCTTGGCGGTTGTGCAACGGGAGATCTTTCGGTAGTCATCGGGGTTGACCGCGCAATATAGCATATTGATGGCCTTTGCATAGTTTTCAATCTTCTTGATGTCCTCGGCATCAAATTCGTCTTCGGTCTTTGGGACCATGGTTTCTCCCACTTTCTTCATAGGGATTTCTTCGCCATTTTTGATCACCAACCACAATTGGAAGTTGGTGGAACGAATATAGATTCTCATTCATTCCTTCCAATAAGAGTAGTTGGTGCCATCAAAGAGTGGTGGCCTAGAAGTTGATTGACCTTCTCCAATTCCTGCATAGAGATTTCTAGATGAAGAGCCCATGATTGCTTTACTCTCAAACGGTTAAGTTTGGACGCGAGTTAGGCTCTGATACCAATTGTTAGAATAAAAGACCAACGCTAGAGGGGGGGTGAATAGCGTTTGATCAAGAAATCGCAGGAATAAAAGTGAATAAGCGAGAAGTAAAGAGAAAAGAAAGAGGCACACCGATTTTACCCTGGTTCACCACAACTTGTGGCTAATCCAGCCTTCTGAGAGACTCTCTCGAGCTACACTACTATCTCGTTAAGCTTAACGGTGCTTAACAAACCCGTACAACTTGAGAATTCGAGTCACACGAACCTCAACGAACCTTTGAAGGAAACAACCCTTCCTTCGAACAACAAGAGAAATACCTTCTCTTGTCAAGTGTCTAAGAACACTAAAAACACTCAAGAACAATACTCTCTTTTTAGAGTGGATATTGAGTAAACTAAGAACGCTCAAGAACACAACACAAGCTTCACAAAAATGGCTCTCAAAAGCTATGAGAAATTGAAGAATGATTTGAAATGAAAGAGTAGGAGTTGTGAAGTAATGTGATGTGTAAAACAGACCCAAACACCTCATTTTATAGTAGAAAAATAGGCTCCAACGGACCAAAGTATTTAAGGGGTGATTGGCATAATTTGTGGGATTTGATGAAATTTGGATCTGCTGAAAATCACCCAGACAGCGCTGTCCTAGGCTTGGACATCGCTGTTCTAGGCTTGCGGTTTGAAAAATGGGAAGCAACGGTCATGCCAACAGCGATGTCTAAAATCCCTACATCGCTGTTTTGGCTGTTGACTTCCAAACAAGGAAAGTTTTAGCCTTAAATTCCTTCCAACGGTCAGGTCTCTACATCGATGTTCTATACTAGAACATCGCTGTTTAGGTCTGCCTTTGG